ATGATTTACAACTAAATCTTGTTTTGGAACTGATCAAAAAAAAATCTTCAAAGCAGAGTTTTTTTATATTTTGTATTACAAGTTATAAGGTTGGCCCCTTTTCTTTTTTTCATATATACATTTGGTTACTTTGCCTCTAATTACTGCATAGGACTACTTTTACCATATGGCTAGCAAAACTGCAAATTTTTAACTGAATTTTTATCACTAAAGCATGAATAACACATCGAGTCTTGAAATGTCGCAGTGAAGATTAAATGGTTTTACTGCTAGTTTCAAGAAGCTCAACAATCCAGGGAAGCAGCAGTGAAGACAAAAGTTTAAAAAGGAAATTTAATGCTACTTTTCATTTACCCAGGAGGGATAAAATAAGTAGCAAAATAATAAGTGGAGAGGAAAACTGAGAAATCAAAATGTGTAATTTTTAAATTATAAATAAAAATAAATAAATAAAGCAAAATTAGTACACTTGCCGCTGGGGACAAGTGGAGGGGGGGGGGGGGCGGAGAAGGTGGAGGGGGCAGGGGAGACAGAAGGCAGCCAAAAGCAAACATGATCTGGGTTGAGAAGGGGAAGGGAAATTAGAAACCTCATGAGTGTAGGAATTGAACTTGAAACTGCAGTGCCAAGGTATCATACTTTGGAACCAGAGTAAAATATAAGTTTTTAAGGGTTGTTGGGAACTTTTCGGATCTTTCCTGATGGACGAATCTTGAAGTAGAAATACAGCAGCTATTGGAATTCTCACTTTGAATGCTTTGTTAGTTATGGGAGTGCTCATCCTTCTAGAATCCTTCCCTTAAGTTTTGAGATGATATTATGAAAATCCAGACATATGTTGTTCAACCCCCTTATGAAACATTCTGTTAATTATCTACCAAACAACTATTCTCCCATCTTTTTTTCTTGCTAATAGACATTAATTATATTTTTCTGCAGATAGAATGTAGGCTATCAGAGTATTTTGATCACAGGGATGGGCCTCAGCCCAGACCTATGGAATTAATCATGACTGTCCTAATTAGTTGCAGCAATTCTACTCTCTTTAGCGAGACTCTAGAGTAAGCATGTGTAATAGTTTTCTCTTGCTGCTGTAACAAATTAGCACAAATTTATTTCACAGTTCTGTTGGTCACTGGCTTGGGTTGGCTGGCTTGGTTTCTCAGCTTTGCGTTTCCTAAGGACAGAATTAAGGAGTTCGCTGGCCTGGCTCTTATCAAGATGCTCTGGGAAGGATCTGCTTCCAAGCTTATTCAGGTTGCTGGCAGAATCCAGTTCTTTGTGGTTGCAAGACAGAGGTTCCCATTTCCTTGTTGGCTACCAGCTGGAGGCTGCCCTCACTCACAAGAGCCTTTCTCCAGTCCTTGCACATGGACTTTGCATAACAGTGTGCTGAATCCTTCACACCTGGGATCTCTCTGTTTGATCTGTCTTGCTCCAGCCAGAGTGGTAAATGTTCTGCTCTTAAAAAATTGGGCGGTTGCAGTCTTAATTATACCATATCTGCATAGTCAGAGGTTCTGAGGATTAGAATGTGAATATCTTTGGGGACCCATTATTCTGCCTATAATGGTATGCAATCCATGTGTGATCAACGTAACAAAGTGGGGGTTGTCCATCTGGAGCTTCATCCTTTGGATGAAAAGACAAAGACTCTGCTGCTTTGTTCTAGCTAGAGATCTTAGTACAAAAGCCACCTCATAACCAGCAAACTTCAAGAATGAGGATAAAAAGTTAATTTACCAAGGATAGTGGAACAGGAGACTAGAAATGTCTTGATGATGTTTTTGAACAGCAAAACCAAGGCCAGTGATTACTTTTGCCTGATAGTTGGTCATTTGAGGAAAAATAGCTATTTATTTAAATAATCAGATCAATTTTCCGTCACTGGTAACTGAAAGCAATTATAAATGACATGCTGATCCTAGCCTTAATTTCTAAGACTCCACTGTGGGGCAGACCTCAGCTTTTCCATGCTTTAAAATGTAGTGTTAGCTAATCCAATTAAATTAATTTATTCTGTAATCCTATGCAATAAAGGGCTAATATGTAAATTGTCCCTTCAACCAGAAGTTTGACCAGGGGTCAGCAGGCCAACCGTCCATGGACCCTGCCCCTGGCCAGCCACGCCCCCATCACCTGATTGGGGCCCACCAGCTGGATCCCACCTGTGCACAAATTTGTGCACCAGGTTTCTAGTCGATAATAAATGTCTTCATTGGTGGTGCTAATCTTAGCTTTACCTTGACACTGTGCTCAAGATTATAGAGTTCAGAGGTAGCAAACTAGAGCCCATGAGCCAAACCTTGCTGGCATACGCCAAGGGAACAAAGAAAGCTATAATTTTGCATTTTTAAAGAGTTGTTAAAAAAAAGAAGGAAAAAAAAAGAAAAAGAAAACCAAAACAAACTATGTGACCAGAGACCATGTGTGACCACAAAGTTGAAAATGTTACCTGGTTCTTCAGAGAAAAATCTTGCCAACCCTGCACTAGTTGCATAGAGGACTGAAGCAGAGATCAGGGTTTTCCTAAGAAAAGTTATTAGGTGAGGCATGCAATACTTTACAAAAATTATTACAGATCACCATGTAAAGCTTGAGACACATGTGAAGATACATGCTATCTTCAAATTAAATTTGAAGTTCAATATTTATTGAATTCTTATGATTACAAGACTATGGAAGACACTGGAATTAAATAATGAATCAAACACAATCTTAACGTATCTGGAAATTGCTTCAGGGAAGCATCTTCTCTGAGAGAAAAGATAAAGAATGGTATAAAAAGAACTGCATGCAAAATTATACAAGTATCCACTTTTTCCTAAGGTCATAGCAGGTTGTTGCAAACTTGGGCCTGTAACTCAAAAATGAACAACCATTTAACAGCTACTTTATGAGTGGTAATTATTACATCAATCCCTAAAGGTAAATGCTGGTTTGCAGTTTCTTCTTCAGGCCATATTCTAATGCCCATATTGTTTTCACTAAACCAAACTGCCTCTTATATGGAAGCCAGGGCTGAAACATCATTTCATCACTGTTATTTGTGAGTGGTATAAATATAATCATTGTGACTAAATGTCTAAAGGACAATGGCTGACATCAATTCCCAGCCTCGCCCTAGATCCTTCCCCTATATAATTCTGTCCCCTGCATCTTGCTGGAAGACAGGATTTGATGCTTGTAAGCGCCCTGTTTCCTTGATTGGCTAGCCTTCACAATAAATGCCCAATATAATTCAACCCTGCCTTCGGTATTAGACACAACTGCAGGCAGCCCTAGGTCACCTAGGTGTTTCCGGTAACATTAAGAGACAGAACTCTAAGAATTTTGAAAGTTTTAAAAGTAGGATGGATACAGAAATAAAATAATTGAATTTAGCCAATAGGAGATAAGGGGACATTTAATATTGTTCAATTTGGTAGACCCTAGCCAATTACTTAAGTTTTTAGAATTCAAACTTCAGTTTCTTAATTGTATTAGCCATACCTGAAATGCTCAAATGCTACATGTGCCTATGGCTACCATATTGGACAACTCATATTATAAAAATTTCCATCATCACAGGAAGTGCTACCAGACTATGTTTTTGAAAGCCTCTAGTAGTGTAGGAGCAAGACCATGGGTGAACGTGTTTCCACTTTACCCTCTTCAGAACTTTGCAAAGTCTGGTGGATCTGACCTCTCTAGTTTGCATTTGCCTCTTCACTTTTGCTATTCAGTTTTAACCTCACTGCTCTTTCCCCGACTATTGCAATGGCTGCCTGTCTCCCAACTTCTGTTCTTCATACAAATCATTCCTCTGAACAAGTCTCTTTTCACTAATGGCACTGACTGGCCAGCCAGCCCTAACTGTTACTGATAGTCCGCCGTTGTGGGGGTGTGAGTAGGGGTATTGTATCAACTTATAGGGAAGTATTTCCTCTCCACTCCCAAGTTTCCTTCCCTGCACTTATTTATGTACTAGTAGGTCCTAATCCAATGTGGGCATAATGATTATATTTATACCACTCACAAATAACAGGAGAGCAGGATCAATGGTTAATCATCACCCTCTCCTGCGTCCTTTTTATTTCAAATGTTTTTCCTTTCTGTCTGCCACTGCTGTGTCCCAGTTAATAATTTATTACTTTTCACTTTACCATTGCAACAATCTGTTAAATGGCCTCCTTATTTTTATTTAAAAAAAATTTTTTTAATTGATTTCAGAGAGTAAGGGAGAGGGAATGAGCGCTAGAAACATCAATGCTGAGAGAGAATAATTGATGGGCTGCCTCCTGCACACCCCACACTGGGGACCGAGGCCACACCGAGCATATACCCAGACTGGAATGAGCCACTCGGGCGGGGCTGATCTCTTGACTTATAGTCTCTCCTTTCACCTTCCAGGAGAAGCTCCGGTCCTATTACTCCATTCCTTTCAGCGACCGCCCTTAGTTTACAGAATAACAATATGCAAAGTCTACTACTACAATCTGGCACAGCCCACCTGTCCTGTCCCACCTGTGTCCACATTCTTCCACACATCCTCCATCGCTCTGTGGGGGGCAAGCTCATTAGTCAACAGAGCCAAATATCAACAGTACAAGGATTCAAATTTCTTTTGAGAGCCCAAAATCGACTCTGTGCATGGGCCACGAAGTTTCAATCGCACTGTACGTGTGCACCCGCACGTGGTATTCTGTAGAAGAGCCGCAGTTTGCTGACCACTGCCCTAGCGCATTCAAGCAACTCCCGCCCTTCCCTCCCTCCCTCCCTCCTTCCTCCCTCCTGCGATGTTATCTTTCAGACCCCAGGGCCCGAGGGAGACAAACCCGCTCGGCCGCGCCCTTGCTATTTCCCCACATAAGAATGTTCACTGTCTGGGAGGAAGATGTACTCCCCAAAGCCTCTTCGCAGAGAAAGAGGGATCAGGAGCACAGGGAGGCGAAGGGGATTGTGGGAGCGCCCTGCGTCGCCCGCAGGCTCATGGGAAATGTAGTGCGGTCGCCTCCAACATGGCCGCGCCCAGGGGAGGCTGGGCGAGGCGTGAGTACCCGACGCACTTTCTGGCCCCGATGGGAGAGGCGGGCGAAGGAGAGAGCCCTCGCGGGGCGGGGGCCCTGCCGGAGCCGAGGCGGAGGTTTGTGGCCCGATGACCGGCGGGCACGATGACTGCGATCGTCGCTTTCGGTCGGCTGCCTATGCGGTCTCTCGGCCTCCCCGCGCCGGGCTGAGGACCCGGGGGCGGGGGGGGGGGGGGGTGCTGTCCCCAGCGTTTCCGGGTGCGGCCCCTGGGCTGTAGGTTGCACCACGGGGCGGCCCTGTCGGTGTTTGAAGGGCCTGTGCTTGTGTTTGGCGCGGGCGCTCACGTGGTGTCTGTGTCAGTCTTAGGCTTCCTATGGGGACTGACGGTTGTAGCCTGGGGAGTGTTAGTTCCGCGCTTCTTGGGGTTTCTGACCCCTGCCAAGCCAGGGACGGAAAGGCATTGCTGGAGGTCTGGTCACTCTCACAGCTGCATCTTCCTGTGCTCTTTCCTTTATTTGTTATTATAGTCTGAAGTTTTACATATATCTCCTCTTCCCCCCTTCCCCCATTGACACCCCCTGCCCCTACCCCAGTGTCTGTATGCATTGGTTATGCTAATATGCATGCAGACAAGTCCTTTGTTTGCTCTCGAACCCCCCTCCCCTGCCATTTGTCTCCGGATCTATTCTTGTTCATCCAATTATGTTGATCATTATATCCCACAAATGAGTGAGATCATGTGATATTTACCTTTCTCTGACTGGCTTATTTTGCTGAGCATAATGCTCTCCAGGTCCTTCCATGCTGTTGCAAATGGTAAAAGTTCCTTCTTTTTTATATAGCAGCATAGCAGTCTATTATGTAGATGTACCACAGTTTTTTAATTCACCCATCTGCTGATGAGCACTTAGGTTGTTTCCAAATTTTAGCAATTGTAAGTTGTGCTGCTATGAACATATATCCTTTCTGATTGGTGTTTCTGCTTTTTTTTGGGGGGGGGGGATTTAGTCCTAGAAATGGGATTACTGAGTCAAATGGGAGTTCCATTTTTAGTTTTTTGAGGAAACTCCATTCTGTTCTCCACAGTGGCTACACCAGTCTGCATTCCCACCGGCAGTGCAGGAAGGTTCCTTTTTCTCCGCATCCTCACCAGCACTTGCCATTTGTTGATGATAACCCTTCTGACAGGTGTGGGATGGTATCTCATTGTCGTTTGATTTGCATCTCTCAGATGATTATGACTTTGAACATATTTTCATATGTCTCTGGGCCTTCTGTATGTCCTCTTTTGAAAAGTGTCTATTTAGATGCTTTACCCATTTTATTTTATTTTATTGGATCGTTTATCTTCCTTTTGTTAAGTTGTGTGAGTTCTCTATAAATTTTGGAGATTAAACCTTTATCTGAAATATCATGGGCAAATATGTTTTTCCACATAGTGGGCTATCTTGTCATTTTGTTGATGGTTTCTTTTGCTGTGCCGGAGCTTTTTATTTTGATGCAGTCCCATTTGTTTATTTTCTCCTTAGTCTCCATTGCCTTAGGAGCTGTGTTGGTGAAGATATTACTACGACATATCTATGCCTATGGAGTCTTGTAGGATTTTTATGGTTTCCCATACATTTAATTCCTTTAGCCATTTGAGTTTGTTTTGTGCATAGTTTAAGTTGGTGATTTAGTTTCTTTTCTTTCTTTCCTTCTTCTTTTTTTTTTTTTTGCATGCATCTGATCAAACTTCCCAGCACCATTTATTGAAGAGATTGCCTTGACTCCATCGTATGCTCTTGCCTCTTTTCTCAAATATTAATTGAGCACAATGGCTTGGGTCAATTTCTGGGTTCGTTGTTCTGTTCCATTGGTCTATATGTCTGTTCTTGTGCCAGTACTAGGAAGTTTTGAGAACTTTGCCTTGTATTGTGATTCCTCCAACTTTGTTCTTTTTCAGGATTGCTGTGGCTACTCAAGGTCTTTTTTTTATTCCAGATGAATTTTTGGAGAGTTTGTTCTAGATCTTTGAAATATGCTGTTGGTATTTTAATGGAGATTGCATTGACTCTGTAGAGTGCTTTGTTTAGTATGGACATTTTAATGGTGTTGATTCTACCAATCCATGAACATGTTATGTTCTTCCATTTGTTTATGTCTTCCTCTCTCTTTTTTTTCAATGCCCTATAGTTTTTGGAGTACAAGCATTTACCTTCTTAGTTAAGTTTATTCCTAGACATCTCAATTTTTTTTTGTGCAATGGTAAATGGATTGTTTTTTTTTTGTTTCTCTTTCTGTGAGTTCATTATTGGTGTATAAAAAAGCCATAGGTTTCTGGGTGTTAATTTTGTATCCTGCTAGGTTGCCATATTCATTTATTAGTCTAGTAGTTTTTTGATGCAGTCTTTGCAGTTTTCTATATATAGTATCATATCATCTGTGAATAAAGACAGTTTTACTCCTTCTTTTCCAATGTGGATGCCTTTTATTTCTTCTTGTCTGATTGCTTAGGCTAGCATTTCCAGTACTATATCTAACAGGAGTGGTGAAAGTGGACATCCATGTCTTGTTCCTGTTCTTAGGGGAAATGGTTTTAGTTTTTTCCCATTGAGTATGATGTTGGCTATAGGTTTGTTATATAAGGCTTTTATTATGTTGAGGTATGATCCCTCTATTCCCACTTTGTTGAGAGTTTTTATCAAGAAAGGGTGTTGGGTTTTGTCAAGTGCTCTTTCTGCATCGATTGATATAATAATGTGATTTTTGTCTTAATTTTTTTTGTGTGTGTGATGCATCATATTTATTGACTTACGAATATTGTTACCGTCCTTGCATCCCCAGAATAAATCCACTTGGTCATGGTGTATGATCTTTCTAATGTAATGCTGAATCCGATTTGCTAGAATTTTGTTGAGGATTTTAGCATCTATGTTCATCAAGGATATTGGTCTGTAGTTCTCTTTTTGTGTGGTGTCTTTATCTGGTTTTGGAATTAGGGTTATGCTGGCTTTATAGAAAGAGCTTGGAGGTGTGCCTTCCTCTTGAGTTTTTTGGAATAGTCTGAGGAGGATAGGTTTTAGTTCTTTGAATGCTCGGTAGAAGTTCCCTGTAAAGCTGTTGGACCAGGGTTTTTGTTTGCTGGGAGATTTTTGATCACTGCTTCAGTTTCTTGGGTAATTATAGGCCTATTCAGTTTTTTTTTTTTTGTTTTTTTTTTAATTCTTCCTGAGTGAATTTTGGGAGCTTGTATTTTTCTAAGAATATATCCATTTCTTCTAGGTTGTCCATTTTGTTGGAGTAGAGTTGTTCATAGTATTTTTTCATAATCCTTTGTATTTCTGCAGGATTGGTTATTACTTCACCTCTTATTTCTGATTTTGTTTATTTGGGTCCTCTCTTCCTGTGCTCTTACTTGAGTAATCCAAGACCATGGGGCCAGTGATTTCAGTTCTGCTGTATGCCAGGCATTCAAGTCTGTGCCCTCAAGTAGATGTCAGCCTTAGGGATGAGTACAACACACAAACAGGTAAAATTATGCCACGGTGTGACAACTACAGGATAGAGATGCACACCAAGTATTAGTGAAAACATTAACCAAACCCAAAATTCTGAAGAAGAGGACTAGGAAGTAAGATGGCAGGGTTAGTAAGTTTAATAAGTTTAGGTTTACTCAATAAATCTTCATTAGGTGCTAGATCCTGTTCTTGGTGCTACATGCTACCAGGTGAAGAATTCAGACAGATTTTCTACTTTCATAGAGCTTACTTTGTAATCAGAGAAATAAGATGGAAAATAGACAAATTAATGAGGGCATAAAAATATAGTGTAGGTGTTCAAGGAATTAAAATGGATTGATAAGAAAAGTATGGAGTCAGGTTTTTCCCCCCTAATTTCAACTTTTAAAGAATTTTAATAGGTAATACAATTTGAATAGCCACATTAAAAAGTTACTGCCCTACCCAGTTTGGCTCAGTGGATAGAGCGTCAGCCTGTGGACTGAAGGGTCCCATGTTCCATTCCGGTCAACGACACATGCCCAAGTTGTGGATTCAAACCCCAATAGGGGGCATGCAGGAGGCAGCTGATCAGTGATTCTCTCTCACCATTGATGTTTCTCTCTCCCTCCTTCTCCCTTCCTCTCTGAAATCAATAAAAATATATTTAAAAATATATAAACAAATGAAAAAGTTACAAAAGAGGAAAGCTCACTTTCATTGCCATGCCCATTTTCCCCGGCCAGCAGGACACAGCGGGACAGCAACGTGGGAGCAAGGAGACATGAGGGAATGAGGGAGGACAGGAGACATGGAGAAATGGAGGCAAGACAGGGTTCTGATCAAGCCTCAAATTTTATTTGTTGCAGCTGCAATATATGTACACACGTTGTAGGGAGAAGTTGCCGCGGGGACATTCCAAGGCGGGGCAAACTACGGGAGGGAGGATCAGGGAGGGGACATTGTAGGGATCTTCCAGAGCAGGATGTGTCCTTAAGCAATAGCTTCTGTCCAAACCGCTGGGTGATTTCCGCTAGGAGGAACTAGAAACTTAATTCCAAGATGGAGTTGTATTTTGTAAGACGGAGTTGCTTGTATCAACTCTGATGGCTCCCAGCACCCATTTCCCCTTCCTAGAGGCAACCTGAATCACTAACTAGTATATGTTCTAGAGATTTATATGTATACCATCTATTTCTGTGCTATACTTCATAATCAAGCCTATTTGATAGGAATTTTAGTTCTTTCTAATCTTTGCTATTAATTAAGTATAATTTATATATAAGCACAGGAACATCGGTTTATAATGCTTGTTCATTATAGGTATTCTATTATTTAAGGAGGGTACAGATGCATATACTAATATTACCATTTAGGGCAATATCAATTGGATATATTGGGGTTTAACATACTAGCAGAGCATATATGATCTCTAAACTTTTGTTATCCTCCAGGGAGTGTGCATAGGCTGAGCATGATTAGACTTGACTTTCATGACTAGTATTCCAGCAAAGTGACCTCACTTCTGTAACATCCCATAGCACTCCTGCAACATGGCAAGGAGCACCCAAGCCTTTGTGCAATATGGGAATTCCTTGGCCAGGGAGCTGGCCTTGTTAGAAAGGGGCACCTCCAAACCTCAGCAGCTGGTAACAGCCTATTCCTTGTTGAGGTGACAGACCTGCTGGGCCAGTCCATTGCCAAGTCACCGGAATAGGGAACAAATGAGCATCCAGAGCTATCTGGCTTTGTTTCTTCACATGTAATAGTGACATCGCATGACTGAGTAAGGAGAAGGGAAAGGGAATGATAGAAATGTGATTATGAGGCTCCATCTGCTGGTGCTGGACTCTTAATGTCAGACTTTTAAAAAGATATGCAGCATCTTTCTCATTTCTTCCACTTTGCAGTCTTCGCTCATGTGACATACTAAGAAAAAAATTCTCCGCGCATTTATCCCGTTCTCCACTGCGTACTGCAAAGGTGCCATGCCAAAGGTGATGATGTCCTTGGCATGGAATGACAGTAAGATAGTTCCTTTGAAGGTCTCACCTTTTCTTTTCTTCTTAAATTATTCTAACCTGGTTCTTCTGGAAATTGACAGCGATTTGATAATAGACTTATTTAATCCTTGTAACAAAGCTATGAGAAGGTGTCAAAGATTAACACAGCCAGACATTAGTGACAGCAGTGAGAACATTTTGTTTAGTAACTGCTGACAGTAGGGCTGTTTTAAAAGGATAATGGGGTTGGGATAGAACTGCATAGTAGAGTCAGACACATGAAAACATACAAGAGGTTGGTCAGTACATGCATCTGGGCCAGCTTTGTTTGCTACTGGCAGTTATGAGGTTTGGATTCTGTCTTGCCGCAGAGACTGGGAGACAGGTCCTATCTCTCCTAACGATTACATTCCAAAGGAGTGGCTCTCCGAGATACATATTCACAATTGTAAGCCCTTCTAAAATTGTAAGTGCTCTAAGAAAGGGAGATCAGGGGCCTGTGGTCAGGTGTTGCTAGAGTAAATAGCAAAAGGTCCAGGCAGCATTTTGAGTTCTCTTAGGCATTCCTTATTAGGGTCATCCTAGGGACATGTCTTTATGCTGCTAGAAGCCACGCTGCAGTTTGGTGACATTTTTTAGCCCCGTGTTTGGAAGGAGTTATGTGCCATGCTAGGCGCTATTCCTATTTTATAGCTGAAGGAACCTAATCACAGAAATAAATAATTAACTCACACAGGGTCAGCTTAAGTGTTAGAGCTGAAATTTGAACCTAGAACCTAGATCCCTAAACACTGTCTCATAGCACTGCAGGGGGTCTGGGGAAACAGACCAAAAAAAAAAAAAAAAAAAAAAGACAATTTAATCTCTGTTTCAAGAGTTCATAGTTCAATGAAAGGGGACAGATATTAGAATAAATCATTATAATTAGTATAATGTTAAAAATATCGATTTAGCTATCAACTCCTACCTGTCTAATGATGACTCCTAAAACTTTCTAACCTCATTTCCTCTCTTTTTCAAAAAATTTATCTTTATGGTTGAAACTCTTTCCTCTTTATTTTTTGAGAGAGGAAGGAGAGAGAGAGAGAGAGAGAGAGAGAAACATCAATGTTGCTTCCCACACATCAATGTTGCCTCCCACACATGCCCGATCAGGGATTGAAACCACAGTCTGGGTCTGTGCTCTGACTGGAAATGGAACCCGCCACCTCTTCGTATACAGGACAACGCACCGACCCACTGAGCTGCACTAGCCAGCATGTCCTCTCCTTGAACACTTCATGGCTATGAAAATACCACTGATGACTTTCTATGTCCCTTTCACATCACATTCCTCTTCCTCTCTTCCCTCCCAGATAAACGTCTTTCCTGAACTTGGTGTTAATCATTTCCTTGCCTTTATTTGCATTTTGCTATGTATTTCTAAACAATATATGCCTTACTTTTGGATTTTGAACTGTATGTTCTTCTTTGAGGTATTTGTTTTGTTTCTCCTTTTTTCTTTCCTAACATTATGTTTGTGAAATTTGTCTGCAACATTTTACCTAGAACTTCATAAGTAAAGGGATACAATACCTATAGTAAAAAAGCTTACTTAATAGAGGTAGAGTATTGGGATGTTTTGTAGAATTCCAAGACATGCTATTAGATGTTCTTGCTTCTTTGTTACCTTCTTAAGTATTTATTGTCCATGCACCTGTTAACAGATTCTCACTTCTGTTGGTTGGTAAAAGGTCAAGTAAGAATTTTAAAGAATTGTCACATAGAACTATTTATATACTAGACAATATATGAATAATATCTTTATAACTATCCCTTTAAGACTCTTAAAGTTGACTTTTTTTTTTTTTTTTTTTCAGTATTGCCATGGATAGCAACCATCAAAGTAATGGCAAACTCAGTAAAACTGAGAAGAAGTTTTTAAGGAAACAGATAAAAGCCAGGCATACTTTGCTGAGACATGAAGGCATTGAAACAGTATCCTATGCCACTCAGGTGACCTAAAACTATTATCATCATTTGAATGTAAACGTATTGTCATGTTAACATGCTAGAGTAATATTTGCTAAAAATTGCTCAGAGAAGAGGGCTGTTATTGTTCAGTCATGAATTACATCTGTATTAAATATAACTTTCTATATTTGGACATAGCCTTAGTGTATTAGTTTGAATCTTAGTGTATTAGTGTATTAGTTTGAATCTCCATTGATTATGTTGGTGGAACTAGAGAAAATTGTGGGTATATATTAACTATACATTATTTACAGTTTATATAGCATACTTATATTTATTATTATATTTAATTACCTTAAAAAATTCTTATGAAATAGATGAGAAATCTAAGGTTATGAGTGGTTGTGATATGTCCAGTGATATTTTGTGGCTGAAGCTAAAGCTAGATTTTTTTTGTAGTCTTCTTTCTTTTCATCCTAACTTCATCTGTATTATAAAGTATTTTGATTATATGCTATAAGACATTTTTTATTTATTAGATTTAATTTACAACGCCTTTTCATTATCTTAGGGCAAAAATTATACACATGGGACTGTGAGACTTCCTGGCCTATGAATTAGGAAAACTTTACTTTGACTCTTAGATTCTCCACTTATTTGGACATCAGCAGCATCCTTTGATCCTAGCTTTTTTCATTTGTAAGGACATAACATTGCCTACTTTTTTATCCTATTGGATTGTTAGATTTTAAAGAGGACATGTATTTTACAGTACTTATTTGTCATTAAAGTACCATATGGATAGGAAGTATTCTTATGATATAAGATAAGAGTAGGAAGGAAGCTTAGCCATTATTTAACTGAGGGCCAAAGACAAACAATTGAGAAGGTGAAGCTGGGATTAAAATGTAGGTCTCCTGGCTCTCAGACCAATACCCTTCCCTTATATCACGAATACACTGTCTGCTGTGCTGCACCAGAGTTTAGGAATGACTGCTCTTTTGAGGAAGGTTGAAATTTAGCAGGTGAGGAGCCTTACTTAGCTTTTGTTACATATTAATGACTTCAGAGAATTTAAATCAAATACCTTTGGAAAGGTTGGGATTAGGTTAATACGTCTGCATACACTTTCTGCCAAGAGCCACAGAGGATGTGCAGCATTTGGAAAATTATACTCTTTTCTCATTTCTTCCCAAGTGTAATTTGCTCTCTTTTCCTTACATGGAACACAAAGAGAAGTGGTAAGATAAGAAATGGGCTGCCTCTGAAGCAAGCTTTTTGTTTGGGTCTGTCTTTTCATTCAGAGCTCTAGAAGTTTTATTGTTATCTTTGTGTCCTCCAAAGTGCCATTTATTTAGGCTTGATATTTTTCTCCACAATAATTTTAAGGAAAAGGAATAAAATTATAGATGGACCTCTAATTATATATTATCTATCCCTGGGAGAACAAATGCTCTTTTCACCAGGTGTTATAAATATGGGTGCTTTGTGTTCAAATCTATAGCCACTGTGAGATTTTGTACAGTAGTCATCCTCAAATTGTCAGGATTGAAGATAACTTTAAAAATTTTCATATCATTGGGAAATTGTTTAGCTGGAAATTATAAATAAAACAATTATTACATTTAATTATATTGTATAACTCACATGTAATAGGAAATAAATTTCTCCCTTCCACCCCCACTGAACTTAGCATTTTGAGGACCTTGTATTCTTCAAGTCACACCTCACATCTTCCTCAGTTCCTCGGTGGACCCTGGCCATTATAAAACCTTTGCAGTTCCTTAGATTTGAGAATATGGAAATGTTTTTATTTGTAACCATGGCTGCATATAACCAAACTAGAGGCCCAGCGCACGATTGAAATCATGCAAGGAGGCGTCCCACCTCCTGCCTCCCGCCGCTGCGAGGGGTGCTAAGGATGTCCGACTGCCAGCTTAGGCACTCCCTGAGGGCTCCCAGACTGCGAGAGGGCGCACGCCGCCAGGCTGAGGGACCACCCCCACCCCGAGTGCACAAGTTTTGTGCACTGGGCCTCTAGTTTTATTATATGCTTTTGAGAAACAAGATTCTAGATAGTTCCATTTTGTGAATATGAAACCAGTACATTATGTTCCAATCTCCAGTTTATTACAGATTAGACATTGGCAAACTACTGTCCTCTGGCTTGTGAGGCAAGAGTGAGTTTTATATTTTTAAAGGTCGTTAAATAAAAATAAGACTATGTGACAGACTTGTATGACCTGTGGAGCCTAAAATATTTACTATGTGACTGTTTTCAGAAGTTTGCCAATATCTGCTATAAATGATGAGCTGATGAAAATATGCCATTAGTGGTTTACTTTTGTTATGCTATAAAATTTTTAGGAGTCATGAATCAAAGATCTTAGCACCATGTAGGATGTTTTTAAGTACAAAGACTAGAATCATCAGAATTCCTTGAATAAAATTGTGTGCAGGACTGTAAACGACAGGAGTCAGCATGAAACTTAAAAAGAAAAAAAAATTACAAAATGAATTTTTAATTTCAGGCACAGAGGAAAATTTTCCTATTTTATATTTAAGGAACCTGTAATTGGTTTTCTGAGTCACTGTCTTTACTTTTAGTTTTTAGTAAACACTGTATGGTGGTGATACCAAAGTGAATTCTGAAAACAGTCAGAAATAAATTTGAGGCCCAGCTCCTCCTAAACACTACCTTTACCTAACAGCTATATTTCTCATTTTCAGTTTCTTACTTGATGAAGTGGGGCTAATATTATCCACTTTATAGAATTGTTGTGAAGATTATGTTAATGAGGATTAATAGGTAAAAGCATGTGGCCAGTGTCTGGCAAAAAGCAAGTATTAGTAATTCCTTGTTCCTTCTCCTTTCTCCCTCTTTCATTATGTTTAATTATATTTATGAACAGAAAAAGTTATCTTTTAATTTGTATGTAGGTTATTAAGAAATGAATATTTTACTGAAATGACTATTTCAAAATCAGTATTATTTACAACATAAGAATACTTTTTAATTCCAAATACTGTATTTAGTAAATTGATTTACATTGAAATTAGAAAACGAGATAACAACTATAAGGAAACCTCTTTTCTTTCATAATTACACCTTTGTAGAAATGTTATTTAAAAATAATCTTATTTTAAAAGGTATTTTAAAAAGAAACAGGTTGATATCATATTAACTTTCCTTTTTTTTTCTTTTAAGATCCTGGTTGTTGCCAATGGTGGTTTGGGTAACGGTGTGAGTAGGAACAAACTGCTTCCAGAATTAGAGAAACTCGGACAGGTGGATGCTCTCCTAATGCCACCTAATAAGCCCTACTCATTTGTCACGTACAAAACTACAGAGGAATCCAAGAAAGCCTATGCTTCCCTCAATGGACAAAACATAGTGGATGATTTAGGACAAAAGATCATTCTGTACTTGAATTTTGTGGAAAAAGGTATTATCATACAGGTATATTTTTCAAACTAGTTCTTGCTTTTGTTTGAGTGTACTTTTCACATCGGAGTTGGGATTTTAATTTGTATAGACAATCTTGACTTGTTTATAGAGAGGCATATTGTAGATATTATGAGAAAAGCTTGTTTCTTTTTTTCTACTTTCAATTTTTTCAATTATGGTTGATGTTCAATATTATATTAGTTACATTTTATACAAATATCTAATCACAATCCAGTGATTAGACATTTATATAACTTACTAAGTGATCGCCCTAATAAATCTGGTACCCATCTGACACCATACACAGAAACATAGTTATATGTTTTTATTATTTTTTAGAGAAGGGAGAGGGTTCGAGAGATAGAAACATCCATGAAAGAGAAATGTCATCCATTGGTTGCCTACTGCACGCTCCTTACTCGGGATTGAGCCCCCAACCTGGGCATGTGCCCTGATGGGGAATCAAACCATGAACTCTTGGTTTCTGGATTGATGCTCTACCACTGAGCCACACAGGCTGGGCTAGAATATTATCGACTATATTCCCTATGCTGTACTTTACATCCTCATGACTATACTATAACTACCAATTTGTACTTTTTTTTTTTTTTTTTTTTTTACAAATTAAGCCCTATACTTTTTTTACCCACCCCTCAACCTCCTTCCCATCTGGCAACCATCAAAATGTTCTCTGTTTCTAAGAGTCTGTTTCTCTTCTGATGGTTCATTTAATTTGTTTCTTAGATTCCACATATAAGTGAAACTATATGGCATTTGTTTTTCTTTGTCTGACTTATTTCACTCAGCATGATACCTTCGAGGTCCATCCATTGTTGTTGCATATGGCAAGACATTCTTTTTTATGGCTGTCATATTCCATTGTATATATGCACCACTTCTTTATTCATTAATCTATTGATGTACACTTACGTTGCTTTCTTACCTTGGCTACTGTAAATGCTGCATTGAGTATATATCTTTTTCAATTTAGTATTTCCGGTTTCTTCAAATAAATACCCAGAAGTGTAATTGCTGGGTCCTTCTTTGTCTCTTGTTATATAGCCTTTGTTTTAAAGTCTATTTTGTATGGTATAAGTATTGCTACCCATCCTTTTTTTTGTTTGCTTGTTTCCATTTTCATGAAATTCTTTTTCCATCCCTTTATTTTCAGTCTGTTCAGCTAGATTTTGTCAGTTCTGAGAGATGGTTATTCTGAGAGTTAGTCATAATTTTGATGTGGTTGTAGGAAGATTCAAAGTTCACCTATGACTCCATCTTGTCTAGAACTGAAAAACGTTTTCTTAGATTTAAAAAATGACTCCAGAAAAAATAACTTAGTTTGTTATTTTGATTAAAAGAAGGAAAAAAAAAATGACTCCATTATGTTCAAACAGAATATTTAAGTAAATACTATTCTATTTGCTGTTGGTAATTGCAGTGGATAAAACGTATCATAATTTTTATCTTGGTCTTTGTTTTGTCCTTTTAGTATGTTGTGCCTTTTGGCATTCTTAGTTCAAAAAATGAGGGGTGGGAGTTTTTGAACTAATAAGTGGCTATTGAGCAGAGTTATTTGTATATAGGAACTTTAAGTTTGTATGTGTCTATTTTAATTTGGTTTTCCACAGCACAGTGGAAAGAGTTGGGGCTTCAAGCCTTACCTCCAGGCCTCAAAGTAATAGAAGAAATTATTTCTTCTGAGGACGAGAAACTGCTTTTGGAAAGTGTTAGCTGGACAGAAGATACAGACAATCCAAATTGTAAGTAAAAACTTTAAAATTTGATTTTTAAAAGTGTCTGCAAAATGCTTTGTTACTGATCCTTCTTTTCTTCTCATTTGGCTTATTAAAACTGATGGTTCCTCAAAATTACCTAAAGTAGCCTGGATCCAATGTTAGACAAGCCACACTGACAAATCTTAGTAGTATTAATAATAAATAACATTTATATAGCTATTAATTTTAAACTCCAAACTGGTTAATATTGATTAGCCCACATTAGTAGACCTAACATTTATAAGCTCTTTTACATACATCATCTTATATGACCCTCTCCTCCGTAAGGCAGGTTTCCTCTGAGTAATCAGCAGTTCATTGCCATACCATCATCATGTCGTGGGAGCCTCCTGGAGATATTTGCAAATTAGTTACTGTGACTCTTTCCAGGTCATTAGCAGTCTGTGATTGGCAATGTATGTGTTTAGTTAGCTCTGTCAGATTGATTGGAAACTTTTTAAGTGTTTGTTACTATTTTAGACTTAAAAGGACAGCAGATATGAGTTAGAATGTTGATGTTATTAAAGACAATAACTTAGCAGTTAACAAAAGTTACTATATGTAATCCTTACTCATAATATTAATTTTGAAATACCTGAAGGAATGAAATTGTTTTTTACCCAAATAGTGTACTTTATTCTCTTCATACAGTTCAAAAATCCTTAAAACACAGAAGAGTAAAGCATTTTGGTTATGAATTCCACTATGAGAATAACAATGTACATAAAGATAAGCCATTACCTGGAGGTAAGTAATTGTTAATAAATGTTGATTCAGGAAAAAAAGATTTAATGTATTAGAAGTAAATCATAGTTGAGGGTGTTTTATTTATCATTTTTAGGTGAACTTTCAAAACAGTTGATTAAACTACAACATTTATATTAACTAAAAGGTGCAATTTTGTGTTAAAAACTTCATAGAAACAGATAAAGCTATAGTTTCTCTTGAACACTGTCTGTACTTACATACCTCTTCTTAGTAGTACCATTGACAGTTTAGAATATATTATTCCAAACCTTTAGTATGTGAGTTTATATACAAATATAAGTGTATAGTTGTTAATATGAGTATTATGTTGTTTAATATATTACATGTATCACTCCAACTTGTTCTTGTCCCTTTAGAGATCTTATATAATTTTCCATTTTTTAAATGATGATAATAGCTTATTCAGTTAGTTCCCTTTGGATAGACATTTATTTCTAGTTTTTAGCTTTTACAAGTAGTGCTTCAGTGAAAGCCTTTGTACATGCCTATTCATGCACAAAGCAAGAGTTTCTAAAGGGAGATTAGCACATTAGGACTGTGTAAAGTTATGTTTATTTAAAACAACTATACCATGATATTCTTACCAAATGTGTACTGCTTCCCCCTACCCTGGCCAGCATGTGGTAATTGTAAAAATTTTAACCTTATAATTACCTGATTAGCAGTGAGGTGGCCATTTGTATTTCTTTTCCTGTGAATTATTTTTCATATCTGTTACCAGTTTTTTCTAATGATTATCTAATCTATATATTCTATATATATAAAAGCCTTAGTTACCTTTATGACCGATTGACCAAACAACTGGTCGCTAAGACAAGGAGGCAGATGCTCAATGCAGGAACTGCCCCCTAGTGGTTGGGGCGCTCCCACAGCCACCCAACCTCCTGCGGTCCTTTTCCCCTGGCCAGCTGGCCCCAATCAGGACTGGGTGAGATGGGCCTCAATTGGCCCCGATCACTGACCAGGCTGAGGGACCCCCTCACCTGTGCATGAATTCGTGTACTGGGCTTCTAGTTTATTAATAAGAACTTACTATGTAATATAGATATTAATCCTTTGGTAAAATTCTTTGTTGAGATTAATTTATCTGTATTTTTGTGACTATGGTCCTATTTAAGGGTTTCTTCCAGTTCAAGTTAGTTAGTTCCACTTTTAAAAGTGTGTGTTTATTTTAAAGAAAAATAATGTAAAATAATTAGATTTAAAATAAATTGAAAAATTTTAAATTAAAGGAAAGTGATAAATTAATTTACAGTATAGAATATAATAAATTTATAATTTTATTGGTTTTTTTTGCAAAATATCAAAATTATGGTTAGCCAAATTGTTATTTTTTTATATTTAATTTGATGAAATCAATATAATAACTTTAAAAGATTTTTAGGAAGGTTTTCTTTATATTTTGCTTTGCTTGTATATTTATTGTTAATATTTGGATCTGACTACTAAATTAAAAACTTGTATGATTTTTATCAGAGTGACTGTGTTTTTATTCTTGGGCAAAACATGCAGAGTAACTACTGTGATATATTTCACCTTTAAAAAAATTACCTCAGGTCTTCCTGACATCTGTGATAGCATGCTGGAGAAATGGCTGAAAGAAGGCTTCATTAGACACAAACCCGATCAGTTGACTGTGAACCAGTATGAGCCTGGGCAGGGTGAGTATTTCTTCTTTTAAAATTACAGTCAGATTTCAAAACTAAGTAGATTGTGTAACTCTCTGTGATCAAATATATCATTTTTTGATATCAGGATATCACACCCTTAGTAACTGCTTATGCTTTGCTGCATTGACTTTAATCCCTTGCAAATCTACATGACTCTCTTCAGACACTTGCATCTCAAAGTGTAAACTGACACAATTGCTATTCATGACTCAGAGATGGAGAAGGTTGCATTAAAAACATTGGAGATATGTACAATGGAAGAAACCAAATAATTTATAAATACAGGCACACCTTGTTTTATTGCATTGCACATTACAAATGTACTTTTTACACAATTTTTTTGTTTTGTTTTTAGGGTTTTTAAAAAAATATATATTTTTATTGATTTCAGAGAGAAAGGGAGAGGGAGAGGGAGAGGAAGACGGAGAGAGGGAGAGGGGGAGGGAGGGAAAGGGGAAGGGAGAGAGGGAGAGAGAGAGAGAGAGGGAGAGGGACCCAAATGTGGCAGGCCGGCCACAACCCACCAGTGCACAAATTCGTGCACTGGGTCTCTAGTGTATTATGATTCCTATTTACCAGTCAATTTTAACATTGATCTGTAAGCTCCTTGGGAACAGGAACCGTCTTATTTACTTTATATACTCTTACCATATAGCAAAGAGATGCTCAGTTAATATAGATTAAGAGATTGGTGGAAGAGACCATATCTTAATTATTCATATACTTAGCCTTCACATCTGGCTATTGTTTGTTTTTGGGAATCCATTGTTTAAGGGAAACATGACTTTGTTATTTATCTTTCATATCTTCTTCTTGGGCTGGGGTTGAGTAAATGTCCTAATTAAGCAATGACTTTCAAGTCTTGATTTTAGAATCAAGTCTCAATAGCACTTGAACATGCACTTGAGAGATTTTTTTGTAAAATATATTTCTTTCTTTTTTTTTTTTTTCTTGTATGAATATATTATTATTATTATTTTTTTAAATCAATCTTTATTGTTCATATTATTACAAAGGTTCCTCATTTCTTCCCCCCTCCACCAAGTTCCCACCCCACCCTCTGCCCCCTCCCCATCCCCTATTGTCCTCATCCATAGGTGCAGTTTATGTTCAGTCTCTTCTTCCCTCAATTTCCCCAATAGTAAATCCCTTTTCAGATAGTAAATCAGTTACTTAGCATTTTCTCATATCAATAATACCTCCACATGCCCAATGATACACTTCACACAAAAGACATTTCCCAATAGGTCCACTAGCCTCATCCAGGCCCCACCCAAGGCACTCACAGATCAACACCCCAGTCCTAAACTAACTCAACACATCCAGATCTAAGCCTTCATCACTTGATTCAGCAGACCCTCAAGTTCCCATGAAAGTTTCCAGCCATGTCTGAGAAGCAGCCGTGGGGCAGGGGCAGGCAAGGAGCGAGCTGTTCTGGGCCTGGCTGCTCAGGGCCTGGCCTCTGTTGCTCTGGTTCATTCCACAACCAGCTGCTCCGGGTCTGGTCACTGCCGCTCCCGACCTAGTTGCTCTGGACTTGGCTGCTGCTGCTCCGGGCCTGGCCGCTCCCAGCCTGGCAGCCGCTGCTCCGGGCCTGGCCGCACCCGACCCGCCTGCTCCCCCGGGCCTGGCCGCTCCCAGCCTGGCAGCCGCTGCTCCGGGCCTGGCCACACCCGACCCGCCTGCTCCCCCGGGCCTGGCCGCTCCCAGCCTGGCAGCCGCTGCTCCGGGCCTGGCCGCACCCGACCCGGCTGCTCCCCCGGGCCTGGCCGCTCCCAGCCTGGCAGCTGCTGCTCCGGACCTGGCCGCACCCGCCCCGCCTGCTCCCCCGGGCCTGGCTGCTCCCAGCCTGGCAGCTGCTGCTCCGGACCTGGCCGCACCCGACCCGGCTGCTCTGGGCTTGGCTACTGCTGTTCTGGGTCTGGCTGCTCCCACCCCGGCTGCTCTGGGCCCGGCTTCTCCGGGCCCAGCCACTCCAGGTCTGGGTGTTCCTGGACTGGCCACCCTGGGCTTGGCCGCCTCTGCCTCATGCCTGGCTGCCACTGCCCCAGGTCTGGCTACTCCAGTGCTGGCTGTTGATGCTCTGGTTCTGGCTGCTGTTGTTCTGGGGCCTGGCCGTTGCTGCTCCGGGTCTGGCTGCCACTGCCTTGTGCCTGGCCACTCTAGGCCTGGCCATCGCTGTTCCAACATTCTGTCCTTTTTTTTTTTCTTTTTTCTTTTTAAAATGCATTTATGTTGCAATGTTGGCTGGTGAGTTGAGTTCTGACTTAGTCTTTGATTTTTCAAGATCTTCTTTGTATTCTTTCTTAAGTAATTTTACTATTTTTTTTGCTCTCACTTGATTTCTTCACATTGAGAACTTCTTTGGTTTCTTCCTCCTTGTCCTGGGAGCTCAGCAGGTTGGCCTGTGGCACCCCTTTGTTCTCCGCGGGCTCCTGCGCTGCTTCAGCCTGTTGCCGGGGACGGAGCCGCCCAGGAAGCAGCCCCCGGCCTTGGCTCCATTGCCCGAGCTCAGTGGTCAAAGGCTCAGGGGCACCCACGCCCCCAGGGGCCCCGTGGCCCGCCTCCTTGCTGGTGCCTAGTTGGCTGGAGGCCGGCAGGGGCTTCCGCTCCCCTCCGCGTTCCCCCAGCCTAGAGCTTTTTTTTTCTCCTTCCCGCTAGGCGAGTCCAGCATCAGAGTCAACAGACTGTCCTCTGCGCACAGTTTGCGCGAGTCCCGGGGGCCCGGCCTTTCGCGCTCTCCCCAGACTCCACCTCACAGCCCCGTCTCCCTTTGCCTGAGCCTGGGTCCCCAGGGATTGGCCCAGAACTGGGGTTCGGAGCAGTCCGGACTGAGGCCCAGCGCCGCCGGAGGCCTTGTTTCTTCCGGCTAGGGCAACCCAGCCTCAGAGTCAACATTCAGTCCTCTGCGCACATTGCGCGCGACTCCCGGGGCCCTGCTTTTCGCCGTTTTCCGCCTCAAGGCCCCGTCTCCTCCCACCGGGGCCTGGGTCCCCAGGGTCTGGCCCATAACTGGGGCTCAGCGCTGCCGGTTCGGGGGGGCTCAGCGCTGCCGGTTCGGGGGTTCAGCCCAGGCTGGGGGTTTTATTTCCTTCCTGCTAGGGAAGGAAAGGCGGCTCCCCTCCCTCTCCTCCTCTCCGGCTGCAACCTCTCCGTGCGCTCGTGAGGGCGGGCAGGCGCGCGCAGCATGTCTCCGTACCTTAGGCTTTTTTTCAGCTCCTCTGATTTTCTTTCTGGTTTTCTCTTTCCTTCTTGTTGTAGAAATTTCATTCAGTCGACTACCTGTAGCTCTGGGCAATGTCCACTCTACATTTTAGTTGTATTCCATTGAAATTGTTGTGTGCTGCCGCGGCTAGATGTCTACCCGAGCAGCCATCTTGGATCCTCTCCTGTATGAATATCTGTAAAATATATTTCATTGATTTTTTACAGAGAAGAAGAAAGAGGGATAGAGAGTTAGAAACATTGATGAGAGAGAATCATCGATCAGCTACCTCTTACACACACCCTACTGGGGATGTGCCCGCAACCATGGTACATGCCCTTGACCGGAATCAAATCTGGGACCTTTCAGTCCACAGGCCGATGCTCTATCCATTGAGCTAAACTGGTTTCAGCCACTTGAGAGATTTTTAGTGTAAATTTAGTTTAATTTTATTTAGTCACATTGACCTTAAATGTTTCCTTTTAACTAATTCCTGATAATCAAACAATGTTTTCACTATAATAGTGGGAGGCTATATTTAACTTGTCTTGAATCTATTGAAAGGAAAAATGAAAACGTGTTTTCCTATCTTCCATTTCAGGAATTCCTGCTCATATTGACACACATTCTGCTTTTGAGGATGAGATCATTTCTCTCAGTTTGGGGTCAGAGGTAAGTATTTAGACATTTTTATTAGCTATCAACAAATGTCTTACCTTATACAATGCCCTTTTCATAGGATTTCCCACATTTGTTAATTCAAATGAATTAAGATATTTTTAAAATGGTAAGTAAAGGCACCATTAGTACTTTATTTCTTGCAGAATGTGAAATTACCACAGCTTCTTTTAGATGTTGAAAGGTTTATCTATAAGCTCATCAAAAGCCAAGAAAAGCCCTGTAACTTATTTTTTACACATTTATTTTTAGTTTTTATACTTTTAATAATTGAATTTATTGGGTGACATTGGTTCATAAAACTATAGAGGTTTCACATATACAATAAAATATCACTATGTGGCCTCTGGCTTCTACAATAAAGACTCATTCCTAAACACCCCCCAAAAATCATCTGCATGCTGCATTGTGAATCATCCAAAGTAAAGTCTCTCTGTCTCCATATATCCCTACTCTGCCCACTTTCGCCTATCCCACCTCTGACATTTTACTTGTATTTTATTTTTAAAATATATTTTTATTGATTTCAGAGAGAAAGGGAGAGAGAGATGGAAACATCAATGATGAGAGAGAATCATTATCAGCTGCCTCCTGCATGAACCTCCACTGGGGATAAAACCTGAGACCTAGGCATGTGCCCTGACCAGGAATTGAACCGTGACCTTCTGGTTCATAGTTTTTTGCTTAATCACTGAGCCACACTGGGTCTGGCACATTTTACTTTTTTTTATTATTTAAAAACATTTTTAAACATATTTTTATTGATTTCAGAGAGGGAGAGAGAGATGGAAACAGCAATGATGAGAGAGAATCATTAATTAGCTGCTTTACCCGGGCATATGCCTTTGACCAGAATTGAACCTTTCTGTCCACAGGTTGATACTCTATCTACCGAGCCAAACCTGCTAGGACACACATTTTACTTTTTTTTTTTTTTTTTAAATACATTTTATTGATTTTACACAGAGAGGAATTGAGAGGGATAGAGAGTTAGAAACGTCGATGAGAGAAATATCAACCAACTGCCTCTTGCACACCCCCTACTGGGGATGTGCCCACAACCAAGGTACATGCCCTTGACCGGTATCGTACCCGGGACTTTTCAGTTCTCAGGCCGACACTCTATCCACTGAGCCAAACCGGTCTTGGCACATTTTACTTTTAAAAGTTAAATAAAATCTAGACTTTTCTTGTGCAGTAATTTACTGGAGCAGCATTGCCATCTAGTGGCTAAAGGTAGTAGCTGCAGGCTATAGTAAAAGGAAACAACTAAAATGTACATGCCTGAATTTTGATAAACTTTTTCACATATATTACCTCATCCAGTCCTTTCAAAAACCTTGAGTAGTGCAGGGAAATGCCTATTTTTACATATGAAGAGTAAGATATTCATGTTAATTCATTGACTTGTTTTTAGAGCTGAACTTATCTTGAACTGCTAAAGAAGCTCTATAAAGCAAAAATGAACAAAAAAAACTCATAGACAGATAACAGTATGGTGATTACCGGAGGGAAAGGGGGTAGAGGTAGGTAGAAGAGGATAAAGGGGAGATAAATGGTGATGGAAAGAGGTTTGCCTTGGTGTAGAGAACGCACAATACAATGTATAGATGATGTATTATAGAATTGTACATCTGAAACCTATACATTTTATTAACTAATGTCACCCCAATAAAACAAAAAAGATGTTATCAAAAACATGATTTTGAATGATCTATGCAAGCTGCATATACAGTTTTAGATAGAAATCAGAACTTTAAATCTAGAAGAATCCAATATGAGATCTTCTAATCTAACTAGAGTTGCTTCAGAATGTGATTTTGTTCCTAGGGGTGACTACTACTTCATTATATATTTTTTGTATTTGTGTAATTTCCACCATTAGGCCTTCAGTGCTTTGGCTTTTAACCTTTGCTGAACTTGTGCAATCATAATGATAACATGATTAAAGAGTAGTGCTATTTGTTCAATAAGACAAAACTATCTTATTAACTACATGTGTGAATTCTAATTAAGTGCTTTCAAAAATAATTTGGATGGGAAGAAAAAAGAAAGAGCTCTTCTCTGTCTGGTTTGTTTGCATTTTACTTCTTGTCCTGGTTTGTAGCTTTAAAGGGCCAGTAAAAAAAAAAAAAAAAAAAAAAAAATCTTTGTTTTTTCTTCTCAAGAAATGAGCCAAAAGATAAATGGAGGTCAGAGTGTCAGCTTAACTACATTAAACATGAAAGAGCATGGCTTTAGATCTGTTGCCAAGTGGACTTGTTCATAGCTCACCAATGACACAGGCAGGCAATGGGAGACTTCCCTCATAGAGTCAGAGGCTGCACCTACCACACAGGACAGGAGGGAGCATACACGGGCTTCTGCAAACCGGCTGGGTCTGAAAGGAAAGAGAAAAGGGCTCAGCCAAGCCAGTTTGGCCTCAGGGTGACCAACCAGTGAAGGCATGCCTTCTCTTCTGGAAGGAGTGGGGAAAAGCAAGGTGCTCTTCCTATTTATACTTTCACTCCTAGGGAAGTTCTCTCCCCATCTAGGGACATATGAGGAAACGGAACTAAGGGTGCCTCCCCACCCTACAAGGTCATTATGTAGTTTTAATTAAAAGTTGTAAAGAAGGGAAAACTTACCCTTTAGTTGCACTGAAAATCTGCTGTAATCGTGATCTCCATTTGATGTCTCTCTAGAGGCATGGAATTTTTAGTTGCAAATTTGAATTATGGAGTCTTTGGTTAAAGCCATCTTTGTAATAGAAAGCATGCATTCTATAAGTTATGACAAGAACAGTAGATTTTCTTATAAAGGAGAGTTTTTGGCCTAGGAACCAAGACGGCAGTGTAAGTAAATGCTGATACTGATACTCACTGCCTCCCACAACCACTTCAAAATTACAACTGAAATACAGAACAACCATCATTCAGAACCACCTGAAATCTCGCTGAATGGGAGAAGTAAAAAAAAAAAAGTACATTGAGTCTGGTGGGAGGGGCGGAGGTGTGGAACGGGCTGGTCTAACATCCATGTTTTAATTTTTGCTGTGATGGCCTTCCGTGTAAGGCAGGGGGATCCCAACTCCACACTCGCACCCGCTCCCCCAGTGCAGTTTTCTATAAAAACCAGCGGGGGTTGTGGCTGAGTGACATGGAGGCTGCTAGAGACCCAGGCAATTTTTCTTAAAACGGACAGTGCATGGACTTAGACTCAATCCCTCTGGGCTCCAGCATAGGGCAATAGCTTGGGGTGGGGGAATCAGGGACATATAGGAAGGAACTGGATTGTCTGGCATCAGAGCAAGAACTTGGGAGTGGGTTACTCCCAGACAGGGGAGCTTGCAGGAGTCATTGTTCCTATGCTGAGACCTCCCGTGTTGCAGAGCTGCCTGGCACCCATATCCTGATTTCCATCAGTGTGCTCACACTGTTCCTTCCACCCTGGTGATTCCCTGAGATCATACCCCCACCCAATTTGCAGCCCCATCCAAACTGTTTGCAGTGACTTTTCCATATGGATGACCTGTTCTGGCTCAGGTTTCAATCATTTCTAAAATCTCTCAAACATGCAGGGTTGGAGTCAGCAAGAGGCCCAAGACCTGACACTAGCTCCAGCTAGCCTTGCTGCACAGCTTGGCCTTGCCTGGGCATTTCCAGCCCAATACAAACAGCAGCCATCGGTATATCTCTGTAGTTACTGCCGATTGGCTGAAGGCAGTGGCTGACTTTGCACCTCCTGGGAGGCCCCAGAGCCAGTGCAGCCAGTGAACAGCTTCAGACCATCCCAGATTACAACTCTACACATGCACAAGCAACATACTCGAGGGGCAGACCCAGTGACCACCATAGCCCACTGAAGCAAGCCCTCCTCCATAGGGGTGGCTCTTGCACAGCAGCTCTCCCACTGTAGTCGCAGCTGGTCCTCACAGCCAGTTGGCCTGGAGGTCAACTTTTCCCAGTGACACCAGCAATCAAGGCTCAACTACAATAAGACTGGGCACACAGGCCACAGAGGAGTGTACCTAAAGTCTCCAGCTCAGGTGACGGGAGGCTAAGTCACTGGCCCCTAAGGACACCTACTATAGGAGGCCACTCTACCAATTCCAGGAAACAGTTCTACTTAATAGAGCCAAAATGTGGAGAGAAAGAAACATGTCAGAAGAAATCTCCAGAAAAAGACCTAAATGAAATGGAAACAAGCAAACTACTGGATACAGAGTTCAAAACAATGGTTATAAGGCTGTTCAAGGATCTTAATGAGAGCTTCAAGGGACTTAGTGAGACTTCCTAGGATCTTACTGAAAACGAAAGACATGAGAAAGGTCCAATAGAGTTGAGGATGCCACGAGTCAAACCAACGATTTGGAATATGAGGAAGCAAAAGAAACCCAATCAGAAGAGCCAAAAGAAAAAAGAATCTAAAAATATGAAGATATATAAGGAGCTGGTGGTACAATTTCAAACGTGCCAACACTCACATCATGAGGGTGCCCGAAGGAGAAGACAGGGAGCAAGATATTGAAAAGCTATTTGAAAAAATAATGACAGTAAATTTCCCCTACCTGGTGAAGGAAATAGGCTTACAAGTCCAGGGATCACAGAGTGTCCCAAACAAGAGGAAGCCGAAGAGGCCCGCATCAAAGCATGTCCACAAGGGAACTCCCATGTGACTGTCAGGTGATTTCTCAGAAACTTTGCAGGCCAGAAGGGAGTGGCAAGAATTATCGAAAGTGGTGAATAATAAGGACTTAACAACCAACATTACTTAGCAAAGCTCTCATTTAGAATGGAAGGTCAGATAAAGAGCTTTACAGACAAGAAAAAGCTGAAGGAGTTCATCACCACTAAACCATTATTACATGAAATGTTGAAGGGTATTCTTTAAAAAAATTATTTAAATTATTTATTGATTAAAGTATTCCATATCTCTCCTTCTCCCCCCCCCCCCCCCCCGGATCCCCCATTGACCTCTCCCTAGCCACTCCAACCCCCCTTCACAAGCCCTCA